GAACAAAATATGCTATTTGGATATAATATAGCATCTGGTAGGTCAAGTTTTATAAAGCTAATATTAGTCGAAATCGCGTCTTTTTTTAAAGTCTAAAGCGTCCATGTTAACACAATGCGTCTAATACTGTGTTTCAGAATCAGAGAGCTCCAAGCTGAATTTTATATATGTTAGGCAACTTTTCATGCTGTACAAAATGGTATAATCGGGTTGAAATGGAGTTTGCATTCTCATAATTTTTGGTGGTATTTCATGGTTTCTCAATAGAAACGAAATATTTGTAGCAGTTTTCATTTCCGTAACACAATTTTAAAGCAAAATAGATATAGTATTCGGAATCAGCGTCAAAAACTGCGCTGATTCACATACAGAGTGTGGGTGTGGGTGTGGGTGTGGGTGTGGGGTGTGGCTTTGGCTTAAAGTATTATCCACACTCACACCCACACCCACATCCACACACCCAAACACGCACACCCACACACCCACACATCCACACGCACACCCACACAGCCACCCACACCCTCACCCTCAAGTTGAAAAGATTTTTTTAAAAACACTTACTGTATGAAAATCATTTCTTCGTCGAATTTTGGCTATTTCCGCACATTTTTACGATCAAAGTGCGATGCTGTTGCATAGATATGAAGTCTAGATTATGGTATTTATTCAGCCAAAAGTTGAGGCCATTTCCTAATATTTTTAGTGAATGAGAGTCTTATGTAAGGCCAGATGATGATTGGCTCACCATTCCTCGTCATTACAAGATTTATCGATGATATTTTCAGCGAAGATTGGGGTACAGTGGGGCCATATATGCTGAAAGTTTCAGCTTGTTCTGCTGAGATTTCACCAAATAATTAGCCTATTCTTTCAGTGATTGCATAATCATTGATTATTTAAACCTTGATTTTTATATAAAAATGTGCCCCCTATAATCTTCTGTCGATTGCTGAAAACCGCAGGTCGCTATGACTTTTCGTTCGAAAATTATAAGCTTTTTTCCAGGTGCCTTCTTTTAAAATTCCAATAGTAGAAAATAATAGTTTTTTTCTGTTTTGATATACTTATAGTATATTTCGCATAATATCATGAGATTTATCGATCTCTGTAACAGATACTTCAATTTAATCTTCAAGTTTAAACTAAAATCATTCAAAATTTTCTGTACATTTTTTTATTAAAACAAGATTTCAATAACTAAAGGAAATTTTATGTTTTAAAATAAGTCAGTGATCATCATATTTAATATACTTGAATAATAATAATAACATACAATACAATAGTGTTTTGTGTTCTCAATGATAACTTTCTATTTTTGGGGTGTGGGTGTGAGTGTGAGTGTGAGTGTGGGTGTGAGTGTGAGTGTGAGTGTGGGTGTGAGTGTGGGTGTGAGTGCGAGTGTGAGTATGGGTGTGAGTATGGGTGTGGGTGTGGGGTATGGGTGTGAGGTGTGGGTGTAGGAGTGGGGTGTAGGTGTGGATATGGGTGTGGGTGCTCTCTAAAAAAAAAGCTATTCTCGAAAACCGGCCGAAAAAGGTTTCCCAGGACTCGGAAACCCATTTTTTATCTTCAGAAACTTTTTTAAGGGTTTCCGAATCTGGGAAACCCATTTTTTGGCTCTTGGAAATCCTTAATAGGTTTCATATAGAGACAAACTCGGAAACCTAAAAGGGTTTCCGAGTCTTCGGAAACCGATAACGGTTTCCGAGTTTGTCCCTATATGAAACCTTTTAAGGGTTTCCAAAAGCCAAAAAATGGGTTTCCGAGGTTCGAAGGGTGGGTGTGGGTGTGAGTGTGGGTTTTGCTATGGTATGCCGCTCACCCACAGCCACCAACGCCCACACCCACACCCTACATCCACACCGACACCCACAAACCCACAGCGAAACGCACCGTACCCCGCACCCACACCCAAATTCGCATCTATAGGCCTACAACAATCATATGGATAGTTAAAAACTAATAAGTGCACAAACACAGACTGACGACAGTATATAGTGCTCGGTCTATGTCGAAAGTTCACATTTTGTCCGTCATGTTTCATGAAATTCAATCGTAACACGATGCTTTTCTGAGAGTTCATATTCCGTGTTTTTTGTTACTCGCCGACCTGAATAAATCCAAGTTCGATATAGTAGGACTAAACAGACTTGGTCCTCGTCGTGATAATTCAATCGAGATGTGTTGCGAAGCTGATTAAGTTCTGGATCGAAAGAAAGTGGAGTTGATGGCTTGTACAATTCGTTTAGGACTTTGGATGGTCCAAGGCTGTCAACGATGTCTTGACTGGTCACAATCCACCCACTAGGACCGATGTCGGATAGTACACTGGATTTGGCACTTTCGTGAAACAGGCTTCGAATAAAGTCTGTAGCAATACGTGAACGAGGATACGATAGACTATTACGAAGGTTTTGCTCAACGTCAAATGCGTCCCTTTCGTAATCATGATGACTACTGTTTTCCACAACGAAATATCGAATCGTGTCGGGACTATCACAGGTGTTATACTTGCCATTGCAGAGATATCGACCTATGTTCGACATAATATCATTGGGACGCAGCCAGATGTTTTTTACAACCCGACTGGCGATTTCGTGCATGATTCTCAGTCTCGACATATTCATACTTAAGCCTTGAATTACGTACCGGCCATCCCTGTATTTGACATACACGTTTATTCCAGTATTATTGTCAGATTTTACTTTCAGCTTCAAAGATGTCCTTCCAACTTTGGCAAGCAAAAGTTCATCCTTACCAGACTTGCCAGGCAGTGGAATTATATTGTTGGATCTATATGAAATGTCATCGAGGGTAAATCTTCTCTTCGTAACTTGAAACACTTGAAAATATTCCGGATCAAGAACGAGAAAATAAATTAGATGTAGTTCTTTGGGGAAACCAATGAAGTGTGAAGGTATATCTTCCTCTTCAATACTCGATAAAACAGACTTTTCAATTCGATCCAGTAAAGGCTCAGAGACAGAGTGCATAAATTCCATTAACGCCCATCTTTTGTTGTTTCCAACGATGGAATCCCATTTGTCCTGCTTGCTTTTATCAATTTTATCGTCACGAGAGTTCTTCTTCTTAGTACTTTGTTGGTTAGCCGACATTAAGCCGATTTCGAATGAAATTTCTAGAGATAAAAGTTTACAATTCAAACTGTTTTTTTCTTTTCTTAGGAGTGGTAAAAAAAAAGCACAAAGAGAAAAAAATGGAATGCTTCTTATTGGTTGAAGGGAAATATATGATGCTGCTTCGCGGACGTCATTGCACAACAATTCATTCTCCTCGATACAGAACGAAGATTGTTATCGAGAAACGTTTACATTACTTTTTCTATTTTTTGTTCTATCAAAGGCAAGCTAAAGATAACGTGCGACTGAACAAGACTGAATCCGAATATAAAGCACATTGAATGTCAAAAAAAGAGAAGAAAAAATTATCAAAAATTTCTAACTATCACTGTTGAACAACATTGATTGATAAATATATATATCTATTGGTTGCAACGCTCTCTGACCACTTTATTCTTCCAAAGGTACGAAGAAACATTATGTAAAAAATATAAAAAAAACTGCAAATAAGCAAAAGGAAAAGAAAAAAGAAGAAAAATAAGTGAGTGAAGGAAGAGAAAAGAAATGAAGAGAACAAAAATGTATCTTGAATTGGTAATCTAATCATGGATTCTGTGACTCAGTAGTGACTATCATTGTGAATGATGTAGGTACTATGTGAAATTTTCAGAGACATTCTTTAGTAGTTGTTCTTCTGTTTTCTCTTTGAATCTTCTACTCGTCAAACCTCCTCTGCGTTACGTCAACTCTTGTTTAGCTTCCTTTTGCGGTTGTTGACTCTTTTTGTTATGATTTCATTCCTCTTTTCTCCACTTGTCGCCCTGTCTTTTCTTCTTCGGATCTTTTTTCCTTAATTTCTTTTTCTCTGTTTTCTCTTCCTTTACCCATGGAAAAAAAAGATAAAAAAAAATGGACGAGAACGCGTTGTTGAAATAAAAGAACGCGTACGTGTGGGTGGGTGTGGGTGTATCAAATTGGAACCTAAGTTTTGCACGTTTTCTTGTCTCACCAAAAAAGTCCCCTGTCAGATCAGGTGATCTATTCAGCATTGAGAAACCAAGTATACTATGTTATAGAGCAAGGTAAGACGCGTCGAATGGTATATAGTAAATCTTGTTTTCATAAGATTTCGAAGGAACTACAGTCAAATTACTGATAGATGACCAGATATCGAAAGGGTGTGGGTGTGGATGAATCTTCGCGAGAAGATTCACACCCACACTCACACGAACACCCACATCCACCCACATCCACAGCCTTTATTAGCAACTCGACTTTATCGATTAATGTTTATCTCGCATCTTTTTATGTTTCTAGAAAAATATTCAATTTATACGAAGATCAAATTACTTTTGTAAAACAAATCAAATATACTAGGACATGTTTTCAAACTCTTAATTTCTATCGCAAATAAATCCAAAACTTCATATCAATATCAAATGTAGTTCTTATGTTAATGTAATAGTGTGGATGACTTTCATTTATTGCAGCAGATGAATTACTATATGTGTATGAGGGTGTGGGTAATGGTACGTGAGTATGGGTCTTCTCTTGATCCACACCCGCACAATCCACACAGCCACATCCACATCCTTATTACTTGCAACAAACAATAGATATCTTTATCACTTGCACATGTAAGGTCTGTTTAGTATGAATAAATCCTTCGCTGTCTACCTTTGTTGTACTGATAAACATTAAAAAAATGATTCGTTTTGTTTGAGATATTTACATAGTTTCTATAGATATACTAATAGGTTAATGATATGACATCGCATAGTTTTTTTTTTCTTAACACGTCGAGAGTGTGTATGAAAATATTATCTCTGGTATTCATTTTAATGACAAACTTGAAATTTTTATTATAATAAAAAAGAGAAATAGATATTTTATGATCTTTTACAATAAATATATAATCAATCAATAGAAAGTTTTGATAATGAATAAAATAATAATCGAAGCAAATTTGATTAATGATGATGATATTGTTTGTTTACTACTACTATTAGAATGTAAAAATTTATTAAAATCAAATGAAATATCACTTTTTTGACGAATTTGACGACCAGTATCAAGCGTATTGCAACCTTTTGATTGACATGCAATAGACCAACTCAGAATACGTGTTTGATCGGTCATATTAAAATGAATTTCATTACTTAAATATCCTTCATATGCATCATCAGTAGAGCAAGTTGCACATATTTTATCTATTTCAGTTTCAGTTTTAACAGTTGTTAAACATTGTTTACATTTACTTGGATCAATATCAGTAGTTGAACTACAACTTTCATCAGTTTGATTCATATAACGAAAACACTGATTACCATCAAATGGATTTTCTGGATTAAGAAGACCTTCAAGTTCATTAAATTTGCTATTTAATGACAAAGATTCTAATATACGTTTGAATACATTTGCATCATTACATCGATCAGTTGAACAAGAATAATATAAATTATGTTGCCTTTGTTGTATCACTCCGATGCCTGACATCATAGCCGTAACATCAAGCATATGTTTTGATGACAATGATCTAGTATTATCGGGTTCCATTTTAATTCCAGTCATATTAGTAGTTAAATACCACCTAGCATCAATAAAACATCCAATATGATTGGATGTGACTTGACAATTTTGAATTTCCGATGGGATGGTATCCAATGTAACTATGTAATTGTATGTCGAGGGTACGTTTGAGCAATCATAGCATGATATATTACAAGACACTGAATAGATCAGTGAGAATAGAATCGCTGTATGAAATAACATTGTTGTTAGATATTTTTTTTTCGTGAGAATCCTGATCTATATAAATAAATCAGTTTTCGAACCTTAATTTGTCTGATTGAGACAGGGATGAAAATATATAAATTATTAAACAGGTACCTGTTCGAGAATTGAATCGTGCGTAAAATAATTCATATGTTGTTTTGATGCAAGTCACAAAGCGAGAGTTAGAGATAACACATGAATGAAATTTAGATTTAAAAAAAAAGATAAGAACAAAACAAAAAAGGTCATGCTTATAATAATATATTTAGTTTTGACTTACAGACTAAAATCTGCTTTTTTTTAGAGTTTGCTTATATGTTGCTTGAAGACTGATGATGATATCCGTTCTTCATCAGTTAGAAATTATTATTTAATAAATAAAGAGAAAAACAATATGACAAATAAGAATTTCAGTTATGGAAATGTTAGAGTTTTCATCTATAGTGCATATAACACACGTATTTTCGATGTAAGAAGTTTACGATTGTAGATGCGTAATTCATCAACACTATCAGCAAATGATCCATTAATGATCGATGTCGATACACAACTGTTATTAGCCAAGAGTCGATTTGCAATAGTGATATAAACAGGCTGATTGATGAATTAAATTCAAGAACATTGTTCACTCGTTCACTGACAACTGTTTGTCCAATTGCAGATCCATGTAATAGATTCGACCCTGGTTCAAATATTAAACTACAATCAAACGAATAATAATCGATAAGACTTGCATGATCTAAAATTTCTTTTGGTGACGTCGCACGATAAGTTATCGATACATGATCAATATAACCAAAGAAATAGTTATTAAAAACAGATATACCTCCAATTGCAGCATTACCGGATTGACCAAAATAGAGATGAAGAGCTATTGGATTCAGAATATTTAAGTTTTCCAATATTCCATTCAAATAAACGAGTTGCTATCAAAAATCATAATCATAAACAAAAGCGACATGATACCACCAATTCATAATGAGATTAGTAGTTTCTCTTGCATTATCCTAAAAGAAACCCATGTGTAACATTATATTTTGTACAATTTCATAATGAAGACAGTGTCCAGCAATAGCATCATTACACTCGCTGAACAGATTCAGAAAAGGATTCATGCCATTCGTAAGATAAAACCACAATTCAATCGTAAAATTTCGTCGATAAAAATCAATATGCGGTAATACATAAGACATAAGTGTTATCGGAACCCTGTATAGCTTGATCAATATATCCAGTTACAAATAATGGATTTCCCATCAATATTCCGTTATATAAGGGTGTGGGTGTGGGTCTTGGAACTCTCTGATTCTGAAACACAGTATTAGACGCATTGTGTTAACATGGACGTTTTAGACTTAAAAAAAAGACGCGATTTCGACTAATATTAGCTTTATAAAACTTGACCTACCAGATGCTATATTATATCCAAATAGCATATTTTGTTCAGCTTTTAATTTTCTATCTTCTGACATATAATGTGAAAAATTTCGGTAATCTGTTGAGACGTAATCTGGCATCATTTGATTAGAGCATTTTCTTAGTGTTTTTTCCTATTAAAGTCATGATAGTGCTAAAAGTTCGTCTTGACTAACTTTTCAATGGAAAAGTATTAGGAGCTAAAATTTTGAAGTTGGTGGTTTTGAATATTGAAGCACTGAATGAGCGAAAAAAATTGAAAACTCTTTTTGTACCAAGTACCACGTATACTTGATGGTCTCACGAATTTTCTCTTCATTTTTCTTGCTTTCAGAAATAAAAAATTTATGAATAATTTTTCGTATAGATGATACTTACGTTGTTGTTTTTCAAATATCGCGATTAATCGTCAAAATTTACGCGATTTTTATAACATAGGTAAAGCCTTTGGTAGTATATCAACAATGTCTATGATGAATAGTGGCTGTAACTCGATCACAAACAGCCGCAGGTACTAAAATAGTGCTATATCCTGTGTCTGCGTTGGCGGCACTAAGTTTTGCAGATCGTATTTCGCAAAATACCAAGCATGAAAAATCTTTAAAAACTTTACCTTGGAAAAGAAAGAGGTCCTCTTATGTCTGAAACACATGTCGGATTTCAGTTGAATATATTGTGTTTTAATGAACATAATCAACTGTTGATATTGATGAAAAAAGAATACATAAGCTGTATGTTCTTCTCTATTGGTCGAAATTTATGAATTCTTCAATTATGAACAAATATTCAAAATATACATATAATGCTAATTTTCCTTTGATTAGCATAAGCAAACCCATTTTTTTTTGGTTAAAATTGTCTTAATACGCACATTTATATCTGTCAGAAAAAAAAACAAGACGAAAAAAAAAAAAAGAAAACATTTCATGTCGATCCTTTTGTTGTTTGTAATGGTTTATAATGTTGAATTCCTTGTAGAAAAATATCTTTAACTGATTGTATTGTTTCATTATATAATTTTAAATCTTCTTCTTTAGCATCTAACATTGATTTAAGTGTATTTTTAAGTGCATCATTTTCTTCTGTTTTAAGTGTTAAACGCATTTCAAGTTCTTCAATTGTTTCATGATTATCTGATTGTGCAGATGATGATTTTGGTAATGATGGCATTGATCCACGTCCTTTTACTATAGAGAAAAATAACGATTTGAGGTTTTTTTGTTATAAATAAAATAGAAAATAAACAAAACAATTTACCTGTTCGATTTTTAACATTATTTAAATCAAGTTTAGTTTTTTCCATATCTTTTTCTAGACGAACATTCATTTTACGTTGTTCAATTAATTTATTTTCTTGTTCAACAAGTTGTGTATTAGCATTATCAAGACGTTTTTGTAATGTTTGAATAAATTCAACAAGACGATTTCGTTCAAGGTCTAGAGCAGCATTTATACATTTGAGATCTTTATCATCCTTTAAAATTGAATAAAAAAAAAGATAGAAAAAATTATTAACTATTTTTTTTTTTTGTTCTCTTACAGAAGATTTTTTAACATTGACTGCACTTGATGGTCGACTATTTGATGAAGTAGTTGTAAAACCATTTTTTTCAAGACGAGTAAGAACAGGATCTAATGTTGAAGATTGCTTTAAAGTATTTAATTGCATAGGTGCTACAGTAACACTTTGTACTGGAGTATATCGACTTGTAATATTGACATAGGCAAGAGAATCATCAGGTTTAACAAATGTTGAAGATAATTCATTGTCATCTTTTTCATACTGAAAATCAAAAAAAAAAAAATTCTTTTTGTTATACATGTTATTATCAAATAGTTTGATCAAACAACACATTCCACGCAGTTCTCAGATAATCTTGACGATGATCTTATATAATTGGCTGTTATTTTTAGATTATGACTTATTGGATTGGTCTCGAATCGATTGAGTTCGTGACCTATTTAATCTAGACAATTATCCATTTCAAAATAGAAGAGCAGTGAGTGTTTTGTTTTTTTGAATAACTTTTGATAGAAATAAGATAGAGACCTGCGATTTTCACCGTTGAAAAGAGAAAGTGAAGACGCATCGAATTATATATTATACATTTTATTACCAAATGTTTTTAGAGTTTCTATTGAATTTTTTCAAAAAAAACTGTAGCAAAAAACTAGAATTTTCTTGAAAAATTAGGTAGAAGCTCACTGGAAAATGCCTTTAACTTCTGAACATTATAAGTTAAAATTCAGAACCTTGCGCAGTTTTGTAGATCTTCGATTGATGGTTCTGATGCACTCCTAAAAATCGAAAATTCTCTGTGATGACTGAATGCAGTATATTGGTTTGCCAAAATCTCGATTAAAAACATTTAATAAAACTTCCGGAAAAATTCTATAATATATGATTCGATGCATCTTCATCTCCTCTTTCTAACAGTGAAAACCACAGATCCATATCTTCTTTCTATCGAAAGTTATTAGAAAAAAATATCCACTGCTCTTCCATTTTGAAATGGTTAATAGTGTGGGCGTAAGTGCTGGTCTTCTCTTAATCCATACCGACACTCACATCTCAATGTTAATGACATATGCATGAATGGGATTTTTTTTTTCGAATAAATATCTTTCAACAATTCTGACTTTTAACTTTCGGCCAAAGATTTAAGAATCAGATTTATCTCATTTCTACTTGAAAGGCTCTAAAAGTGATAAATAGGAAAATAGTATCACATTAGAGATGTTCAGAGTAAGCTTTTTTCGTGTTCTGAAAGTATATCGTATGTTTGAAGCAGAGACCGAACCTAACTAATTTTTGAAAAGTGAATAAATATGGACAAGTATATAAGAAATATGATTAACTGAGCTACAATCCTTTTTGCGAAATTGTGATGCTGTATGGGATTATCAAATGATTTTTGATCGAACGTTTTACATGAGAGATTGTGAACGATCAATTAATATTTACAAAAATTTATCAAATCAAGGAATAAATTGTAAAGAGATTTCATTTTATTTTAAATTTAAATCGAATTTATACAAAAATTCAATAAACTCTATTTTAATTAACTTAAGTATAGTAATCTATAGAAATCAAAAGAAACCTTTTATCTCTCATGTCTACTACTAGCAAAATGTATCTATACAAGTTTTTTATTATCATTAGAAAATAACAGAAACGAAATGCGACCGTTTTTCCTACGGAATCTTCTATAGTGATAATCGGATGAGTTTCTCTTCTTACTTCTGATCTATTTTTCTTGAAGCCATGTATTTTGACGATTGTGTTGTTGAACTAATAAACTTACAAGAAAATACCACGCCTATCAGGAACTGAATCAAACACGAATCTGTACAAGTCGGTTGGATTCAGTCTCTAGTTTGGAGCAATTATCAGATTCGCTTTAAAAATTTTCATTGAGAATAGTAAGAGTACCGTTCGAATTCAAATCTGAAAAATTTAGGCTCGACGAACTCGATACTTAATTGAGATGAGGACAAGAATTCACGTTCTAGAGTTATAGCGCTCTTCTAATGTCCATTTCAGAGATAAATGGCCGTGGGTATTTTTCGAATAACTTTTGATAGGAACGAGATAAAGACCTGCGGTTTTCACCGTTGGAAAGAGCAGATGAAAATGCATCGAACCATATATAGAAAGAGTTTTCTAACGACTTTCCTAAAGGTTTTAGTCAAACGTTTTCAAAGAATTGCGTTTTTTTCCTACGTTAAAAAAGTGATTTTTCTATCGAAATATCATAAAAAACCTCCATTTTTCGACTATTTTGTTGAAAAACTGAGTGGTGAATTGCACTCCAATGACTAGAATATCGTATTGGTAGTAGTTAGGAATAAAGCTTTTCCATAGTTTTTTGTAGCTCTTCATTTTGCGGTTCTACCACACTCCTGAAAGTCAATAAATTAATATCGCAATCATGAGAGGCATGCTGTTTTTCTTGAAGTTTTACGTAAAACCCTCAGGAAAGTCGTTAGAAAACTCTTTCTATATATGGTTCGATGCATTTTCATCTGCTCTTTCCAACGGTGAAAACCGCAGGTCTCTATCTCATTCCTATTAAAAGTTATTCGAAAAATACCCACGGCCATTTATCTCTGAAATGGACATTAGTATAGTTAATACCTATTTATACATTCTAAAAATCCGATAATCACTTCAATAATAGTAGAATTTCTTTAATCAAACAAATAATTATTCGATCTTATATGTAAAGTAATTATAACTAAACTTTGGAATCT